CAGTTGGCTAAGCGACTGCCTTCGGCTCAGGTCATGATCCCAGGGTTCTGGGATCAAGTCCTGCGTTGGGCTCCCTGCTCAGTGGGGGGCCTGCTACCCACCCCCCACCCCGCCTCTGCCTGCCTCTGTGCCTACTTGTGCTCTTTCTCCCTCTGTCAAATAAATAAATAAAATCTTAAAAAAATATAAAAAAAGAACTAATAACAGATCTAAACTCTGAACTTCTCTTGACTATGGTAGGTTCAATTCTACCTTTCTCCTTTCTTAGACAAGCTCCTATTTTTTTTTTTTTTAAGATTTATGTATTTATTTTAGGGAGAGGGAGAGAAGGAGCGCATGTGTGTGTGCACGTGTGTGCGTATGCACACACACACACACACACACACACAAAGGCACAAATGGGGGGAGCGGGGAGGGGCAGAGGGAGACAGAATCTCAAGCAGACTTCCCACCAAGCAGGGAGTCTGAGATGGGCCTCCAGGTGGGGCTCAATCTCACAAACCAGAGCATGACCTGAGCTGAAATCAAGAGTCAGCCACTTAACTGACTGAACCCTCCAGGTGCCCCTACTTTTTTTTCATTTAAATTATATTTATTCACCTTCTGAAAAGGCAACATTTATGAATCAAAACTCAAAAAGGCATACAGAACAAATTTTCCTTCCTATCCCTGATTCTCAAGCCATTTACCTTCCCTGAGCAAATGGTTTCCTGTGGTCTTTATAGAGATCAGTCTATGCATATATAAGCAAATACATATTTTTCCTTTTGTATGAAAATTTTAGCATATTACAGACACTCTTCTGATCCTTGCTTTTTTTTTTTCAGTTAAAAATATATCTTGGAGGTCTTTTCATATCAGTGCGTAAACAATTTCCTCATTGTTAAAGTGTTCTCAAAAGCAGATGCCAAGATGGGATTAGACATGCAAGAAACTTACTGGAGGAAATGCCTGTGAGGGAGGAAAAGGAGCTGGAGACAATCAGATAGTGATGCTGATTTGAGCCCCATGAAGGGGGGCGGGTGGGAAGTTTGGAGGCTTAGGGTAGCAAGTGACTCAGACTGCAACATAGTTCTAAGAAAGTTTCAGACAGGCTTAAACCTGGGGATTCCTTAAGACAAAGTCACACATCAGAGGAATCCTGCATCCTGCAGGAATGGACCTGCCTGAACATCCTGCTATGCTCAGTCATCGGCTGGGAGCAGTCCACGGGGAGTGCGGCCTCATTGCAAAGGCAGTGGTAGAATCAGGGCTTAGCAGATGGAGCCTCCCTGGATGGAAAGATCTGAGAGGAATACCTCATGGCCTTCATATTATTTTTAGGGCTGCATAATAATCCACTGATGGATGTGCCATAGTTTATTTATCCATTCTGTGGCGTACATCACAGCATCCACCCCAAGGAGTGGTACTACTATGTATTATTATTATTATTATTATTTTGGAAACTACTATGTAATTTGGATAGATGCTGCCAAGATTAAAATCTAATGTATATACTGGTATATATTTTGTGAATGGGCACTTTCACTAGCAATGTAGAAGAATATTTCCTCATTTCCTTATTAACACAGGGTGTGATAAAACTTTCGTTTTTTTTTAGTTAACTTTTTCATAATCTATATTTGATTTTTTTACACATTTTCCCACTTTTCATATACGCCCAAGTACATACTCATTAAGCCTTGTCTCTTTAATTTACTAGCTCAGTTTGTTCATATGTAAAATAACAATAAATCAAGAAATTTAATAGGGATATTTTGAGGATAAAATGAATGCAAAATTCCATAGTTAAGAATCAACCAATGGGGTGCCTGGGTGGCTCAGTGGGTTAAAGCCTCTGCCTTCAGCTCAGGTCATGATCTCAGGGTCCTGGGATGGAGCCCCGCATCAGGCTCTCTGCTCAGTGGGGAGCCTGCTTCTTCCTCTCTCTCTCTGCCTGCCTCTCTGCCTACTGTAGTCTCTCTCTCTGTCAAATAAATAAATAAAATCTTAAAAAAAAAAACAACCAAAAAATGTTCTCAATCAACCAAAAAATATTCTCCATACTCTACACTGATGATTTTCAGATCTATACATTTAGGCCAGACATCTTGTCAGCAGGTAAAAATATTCAACAGTTTACTTGTTCTTTTTAAAAAAAAAATTTTTTTTTAAGATTTTATTTATTTATTTGACAGAGAGAGATCATAAGTAGGCAGAGGCAGGCAGAGAGAGAGAGGAGGAAGCAGGCTCCCCGCTGAGCAGGAAGCCCGACACGGGGCTCGATCCCAGGACTCTGGGATCATGACCTGAGCTAAAGGCAGAGGCTTCAACCCACTGAGCCACCCAGGCGCCCCATATTTACCTTATTGTTAAAGTCAAAACCCTGGGAGTCATTTTGGATTATTCTCTCTTCCTTAAACCCACACTTAATTAACCACTAGATTCTGCTGAATTTGATTCATAAATGATTCTGGTATCTGTCTTTTTCTCATGATCAGCACTGCCCATCTATGGTTCATCTATGCCCATCTATCCCTGTATTTTATAAGTATTAAGGCAATAGCTCCTTCCTCCTTTTTTTTTCTTTTTTAAAATAGGCTTCATGCTATGGGGCTTGAACTCAAGACCCTAAAATCAAGGGGCTCCTGGGTGGCTCAGTGGGTTAAGCTGCTGCCTTCGGCTCAGGTCATGATCTCAGGGTCCTGGGATCGAGCACCGCATTGGGCTCTCTGCTCAGCAGGGAGCCTGCCTCCTCCTCCTCTCTCTCTCTGCCTGCCTCTCTGCCTACTTGTGATCTGTCAAATAAATTAAAAAAAAAAAAAAAAGACCCTAAAATCAAGAGTCACATGCTCTACCAACTTGGGAAGCCGGCCAGGAGCCTTGAGGCAATAGCTTTACTGTTCTTACCTTCTTCCAATCTATTTTGAACACTGTCATCAGGAGGAGTTTTTGAATACACAGCACTGATGATAATACTCTCTAGCTCATACCTTCTTCCAATCTATTTTGAACACTGTCATCAGGAGGAGTTTTTGAATACACAGCACTGATGATAATACTCTCTAGCTCAAGAGTCTTTAATGGCTTCCTATTGCCTATAAAATGATGAAATCTAAAACTTACTTGACATATATTGCTCTTCATAATCTGATCTCTTACCTGTCTAACGTCTTTTTAGATATCCCCTTTCCCTGCTTTAATCTGTAACATTCAAACTAGTTGCATTTCTCAGAATATATCATGTTCTCTCTTGATATATGTATTTGCCATCCTGCCTTAAATAATTTCCTGCTCTTTGCCCACTTGCCTTTCACATAAGGTTCTTAAAATTTTGGGTCAAACTGACCTCCCAAGCTTAGCCTGACTCCTCTAGAAGTCCTCCTATTCTACCATTGCTCTTTGTACCCACAGGGTTTAGTTTTTATTTGCCTGCATGTTTATTTCTTCAATAGGTTTTGGTTCCCCGGATGGAAAAAGACCAATTTCATCTGGTATCTCCAGCACTTATCACGGTTCCTGGAAATAAGAGAAACTCACATACTTTTTGATTGGCTTCAAGATCTGAGAAGTTTCCCAATAAATTTACTCTTGTAGTAAATAAACGATCTCCATCCCTCCCCCCACCCCAAGTTTTCCAGGTTTCTCCCAAAACCTAGCGGGCAGGTCACTCACTATTAACTCTCCTTACCACTTTAGATAAAAGTGACCATTTCTTCCTTTGTGCTCCCACTAAAAGCGGTATATTAGTCCTATCCTAGCAGCAATCATGTTTAAGATTGTATCCTAAGCATCTGACACGTTAAGCACGCAATAATTAAATGAATCCATGTTCACCTTAAGGAGACGTTCTTAAACATTCTAGGAGAATGTCATCAGTATGCATAGACCATAAAAAGTTTTTTAAAATCCAAACCTGATGATTGTTTTTAAAACGATCTATCCTCCTGGCACTCTTTTTTTTTTCTTCAAGATTTTATTTATTTGACACAGAGATCACAAGTAGGCAGAGCAGCAGGCGGGGGGGGGGCGGGGGGAATAGCAGGCTCCCCGCAGAGAGCCCCAGCGGGCTCAGATCCCAGGACCCTGAGATCATGATCTGAGCGGAGGGCAGAGGCTTAACCCACTGAGCCACCCAGGCTCCCCACTCCTGGCACTTTAACTGCCCTTAGACAGATGGCCAAAGCTTGGCTGTGGGAACCGCATATGGTAGGAGGAGACTGGAGCGCGAGGAAAGGATGATTGGCTGCTAGGTCTCAGAAGTTCTCCTCAGACCGAAGCTAGGACTTGGAAACCGCTGATGGTTCAGCTTTTGAAATACGGTTTTTGCATCGTAAAGGAAAAAGATTAACCTATCAGAAACAACCGAGCACACCCCATTACCAATCAGGAGCGGGAAAGAAGCCAAAGCCTGGGGATACCCACGCACCAACGAGGACGTCATTCTCCAGTCTCAGCCAATGAGCGGCTGGACAGGGGAGGGGGCGGGGTAACAGGCGGACCAATTGTCACAAAAAACAAACAATCTGCAGTACAACTGCCTTAACCACAGCCCTCGCCTCTCAAACCGCTGGAGCAAACTCCTGAGCAAAGCACTTGCCAAATACTTTCCAGTCTCCTTCTCGCCTGGAAGCAGTTATAGTGGAGTACCTTCCTCACACCAGAACAAGGGCCTTCTTTTCACCAGCTCCCACAGACTCGCAGAAAGAATACTGCAACTTTGAGGTTTCTACCTTCACAGGAACTGGCAGTCCGGCGCTACCTGAGGGGGGGGGCGGCCCCAGTACGCAGGCGTGCACGCCTCGTGGGGGCGGGGCTGTGGCAGCCCACAGCAACCTGGGTGCTGTATTCCTTTGGCTGGCAAAACTCAACCTCTTTTGCAGCCTTCGGAACTACATTTCCCAGGAGCCCCCGCGACCTCAGGGTGGGCGGGATGGTTCGTTAATGAGCTCGAGGAAGCCGCGGCGCGGCCCACCAGGTTCCAAAACAAGGAAATGAAGGGGGGAGGCGGGACTGGGGCTGCCTGCGGGAGCCGCCGCAGCCGCCGCCGCGGAGGAGGAGGAGGTGGTGGAGGAGGTGGCTGCCGCGGCCGCCGAGGAGTCCCTTGCTGAAGGCGGACCGCGGGGCGGCGGGCGGCGCGCGCGCGCCCGAGAGGCGGCTGTTGGAGAAGTGGAGCGGCGGTCGCGGGGGGAGGAGGAGGAGGGACTGAGCGGCGGCGGCCCCCGCGTCCCGGTGCCTCTATGGGGAAAGCAGACAATGGATTATGATTTCAAGGCGAAGCTGGCGGCGGAGCGGGAGCGGGTGGAGGATTTGTTTGAGTACGAAGGGTGCAAAGTGGGACGCGGCACCTACGGGCACGTCTACAAGGCGAGGCGGAAAGATGGGTAAGAGCAGGGGCGGGGGGAGTAGGCTCGCTTGGGTCCTCGCCCTGCCCGCGACCGCGCGGGATGGGTGGGTCGGAGCCAGGTCGGGCCGTTCCGGAGGGGCGAGGCGGAGGTGGTCGTGGGGCCGCGTCCCAGCGCGCACTGAGGGACGCTGGTGCTGCCCGCCCCCCCGCGCGGCCCCGTCGCGCCCCTCGAACTCCCGCGGCGCAGCCCAGTCGGGGGGCGTCGGTCCCGTCCCAGAGGGCGCCTTCCGCGTGCATGGAGCTGGCGGCGGGACTCGAGTTGGGACCTCGGTTGGAGGTGGAGTTTGTGGGGTCTGGTCTCTTGGGGAGACGCGGAGGGCTGGGAGAGCTTTGCCGAGGAGTTGCCGCTCTGGCCCTGGGCTGGTGACGGTCGTTGTGGAACTTCCAATCGGCTGAGCGCCTCCCGGGGGCGGCGGTTTGAAACCTAGCCGAGGAACCGGTCGCGCGGCCGAGCGCTGGGGTCCTAGCCAGCCTCACGGGTCTGACCCGCCGGGCACCTCTGCCCTTGGGGCCAGCCAGCCCATTGGCACCTCAGCGCAGCCCCCGGTCCCTGCCTAGACCCGGCGACTTCTGGATCCCTCCTCATTTGCCCTGATTTCGCTTTTTCACATTCCGAATTCCGCACCTTCCCTCGAATGTAGGACCTCCTGGGAAACTAACCGAGTTTTACCCGCAGAACTTAAGAGTTCGCCTAGTTCTCTGGTAAATCATCCCTCCCGCCCCCTGGATATTCTGATGTCCTCCACTCCCATTTCCTGGCTAAATGACTGTGTGCTGGGCTTTATCGAGCACCTAGATTGTCCAGAACGGAATGTGAATCTTTGTTTTCCTGAGAGTTTTGGGAGAACCGTAATGACCTCTTAGGAAGCCTTTATTGATTGTTCTCTTAGGAGAAGGCGAGCTGGATAAAGTATTGAGAGCGCCTGTCCTCTGTCCTATAGGGTAGACGGGCTCGTGCTGTAGGACAGGTGGAACCAGCTCCCTGCCTGCGAAGGATAGGTTTGAACCAATCGTCTCTTCACCGCCCTTCCTGGCAGGAATTCTCCTCCCCCAGAGTTAGAAGTCCAGAAACGTCTATCTACCTGTCCCCCTTAGATTTCAAAGACTTAGATTTCAAAAACTATATGAAAGAGAGGTTTTAGGGTTGTAAGGGAACATTTCTGGATAAAGTGAGAATCAGCCATAATGACATTAGTAAGATTTGAAGTGCTGCCTACCGTTCTGCGCACTCTGATACAGTTGATTTATGAACTCTAGGATGAAAGTCGTTAAAGTCTGTGCTAATTTCGTACAGAGAACGAGAAAGCACAACTTTACAAATTGTTTTATCATAAAGTATGGTGGAAATCACCAGGTACTATACACGTGTAAAGGATTGTTACTGCAAGTAATTTTTGTCTTATAACTAAACGGGCCCCATTGTATTCAGTTGTAAACTTTTCTCATAGTACTTTCATTTAGTTAATTGCCAAGTGTCCTTGGATTCATAGCTTGGAATGTGAGGTACTATAATTAACTTGTATTTTGTTTTTGGAATATTAACTTTACTTGTTTCACTGGTGTCCCTGTAGGAATCTTATCACATATACTTGGGGAGAGAACATCTAGTTTTCCTATCTGGACATTGGCATTACAAAACAAGTAACAAGGTGTTTTTCAAACTCCTCATGCTAACTTTATAATCCATTTAATCTGGAATTTCTAAAATGTATTTTCATTCTTGTTAAAATAGCTTCCCTTTATTAGGCAACTTTTGAGAAAAATTGAAAAGTCTGCTTTTGAATTGTATTTCGATAGCGTGGACTATAACAGAAAACAGATAATTTAATTCCTGCTTCCAATTGTTCTATTTGAATATTTTCCCCTCTAATAAAGTTCTTGATTCGACTACAGTTTCTTCTTGAGTGAAATTTGTTTGATTAGAATTATTGAAGTTTCTTTAATAGAAAAAGATCAATTGTGTATTTTCAAAATATACATTTTAAAGAAACCTGTAGGATCTGAAAGCATTAGTTGATATCACTGTATTACTTGTAAGAAAAATCATTATAAAGGTAGGTTTTCTTGGACCAAGGATCTAGTTGAGATTTGAGGCTTACAGTAAACACAAATCTCTTGTGGGTTGGTGGGATTAGTTTTATGTTCATTGATAACAGCGATTTGAAAGAATAGAAAGTTTTTAGTAGTGGTTCTAAACTGTGATATACATTTCCATAGTAAAGGATTTTACTCTGATCAGGGTCAATTACAGTTTAGCTCTTTACAGAATTTATTTTGCTTAATTCAGAAAAGTATAGTGCTATTTTAGGGAGCAAGAAAAAAATCACATGGGTTCATTACAGAGAAATTATTCTGATGTATATAATGTAGTATATAACCAAAAAATCATTCAGGTCTTTTGGAGAAACACAGGAAGAAGTAATGTAGCACGAAGCATGACTAGAAAAGCCTCTGCTTGTAGTTTAATGTTACAGTTTAAAAAACCTTAGAAAATTGTCATTGAAATATGACTTTAACTTAGGCTATGTTAATTATACTATATAAATTTATAACAGTGGGAATAAAAGATTACATTTGGGTTTTTCACTTTCAATAAAAATGGTAATTGTTCTTTTTGTTCTTTTTTTTGTTGTTGTTTTGAAGGAAGAGAATCTTTTGACCCAACCATTCTTTTTAAATAAAATCAGGTTTAAAGTTATTCTTGAGAAACAAGTTCAGAATATTTCTAGATTTTTTAGTATGAGCAAGAATTTGTGATAGTTTTAACAGTAAAAAGTCACATATAACAGTTTATGGTTACAAATCTCAAGACCATATTTCTTAAATTTGAAAAACTTTGTTTTGATTGATAAAGGAATATTGTTAAAAAGTTCTTTTGTCAATAAGAGGTTCAAACAAACTTGATTCCATAGGATAGTGTTATGTCTGAAAACTGTTGTACCCAACAATACTACTATTCAACTTTGCAGACATTCATTTAGTCTTTGAACCACTCCAATCAAAGAATGCTTCTTTTTGGAGATGTCTGAAAGATACTTGTTAATTGAAAGTGAAATGGCTGACAACAGTTTCAGTTTTGCCTTAGGGTTTCAGATGAGTAGTTGGTGACTATGTATCTTAATGTATGAAGTTACAGATGAGTAATTGGTGTCTTGCATGTCTTAATGTAGGTCATGAAATCCTTCACTAATAAATTTGTTAGGTACACGTGGACACACATAGGCATGGCCATAACAGCTTGGTTTTGATAGATTTTTCATATTTGGTTTGTAGTTAAAATAGATGATAGTATTTGCATTCCCTTTTTTTTTTTTGAGATCTATGGGGGTTAAAGATGTAGCAGTATGATCATAATATTTTAGAAAGCTATCAAGAGTTTTAAGATCATTTAGTCTCATTTCTTCTTACAAATGAGAAAACCAGACCTGTTAGAGGTTGTCATGACCATAGTCTCACAACAGAGACAAGCCTCACAGCAAATTACAAGACAGTAATCCAGATCTCGTCACTGAGTTATTGCATTTTCTAATGTGTTTTCCTTCTTAATACCAAAGGAGGTAAAACAAAAAAGGCCACGTTACCTCCAGTTTTGACAGTCTTATTCTATAAACCTTATCCATGCAAAGGATACATCTATACCAACAAATACAGAAAAGGGAAGAGATCACATTGACATTTAAAAAAAAGTATAAGTGCAGGCCTGTAATTCTCTTTAGCTGGTTTTTCTCCATTCTCACTGTCTTACTTTTGTCCACCATCTCTGATTTGCCCAGTAGACAGATTGGTCTCTGCTATTATCTTAGTCTTTCCTCCCGATAGCCCAAGATCCAAGTTGCCTGACTTGTTTTTTTTTCTGCAAAATAAAATTAATCATGTCACATCTTGGAAAACTGCATTCTCTCTGGTTCAAACCATCACATCCAATCTTAGTTCCTCACTTCAGCATGTAAAGCCATTTGCATTCAGATCGTAAAGTCTTTAGTCTTTACAGCCTTTATGCTTGCCACCAACTCCCTCCTTTATTCCAGAGTCTTCAAGCCATGCTTCTGTAGCATTGAATTCGTATTTTCCAGGACTTGGTAAATCCTTTTCATATCTTATTTTTTCTTCCCTGCATTCAAAGTAGAATGGTTTTGCTCTGCCATTCCTCTGTCCCTTTTCTCCTCACTCCCATTAACTTGGCATACTCCTGCTCATCCTTAATACTCAATTCAAATAGCTTTTCTTCTAGAAGCCTTCTCTTACTCACCAAGTATATTCATTAGATGTGATTCTGCTCTTCTTTGTTCTTAGATGTGTGATATCAATATAAATAATAACCTGAAGGGCTTGATCTCATGGCTCTGAGATCATGACCTGAGACAAAATCAAGAGTTGGAAGCTTAACTGATCAAGCAACCCCTGGTGCCTGTTCTGTGCTTTTACTAGCTATTTTATAGAGATGCTTAGAAAATGTCAGCATCTAAGCATACTTTAGTAAATTTATTGAGATGATGGGTTTATGTTAATAAACTTAGTATCTTTAGCACTTAGTAAATCAAACGGTCATTGGTTTATGTTTAATTGGTTCTTCATTTATGCAGTGCAACCCTTCAGAACTTTATTTCTGAAGCCCAAGGGAAATAAATGCTCTTTTCAATGAAATTTGATTGTTTAGAGCAGTGACAGATAAACTTTTTCCCAAAGAGGCAGATACTAAATATTTTGGGCTTTGTGAGACATACATGTTTTAAGTACTTGAATCTGCTGTTATGGTGTGGAAATATCCATAAATAATATGTAAATGAATTTAAATTAGAATGGCTATGTTCTAGTAGAACTTTGTTTACAAAAACAGGTGGTCAGCTGACTTTGGTCTAGAGGCTGTAGTTTGCCCTGCTTAGTTTACCAATCCTTAGTCTAGAGCAGTGATGTCCAATAGAACTTCATGCAATGATGCAGATACATCTGCGCTTTACAGTATAGTAGCCACTAGCC